GGGCCGCACTGCTGCAGACAGTCGCACTAAGCAGAGGTCCGGAGCCAGACCCCCCGCTCCCTCTTTCCGCCCAATGTCGAAATGCCGAGTGAAAAAACGCTCACCAAACGCGGGTCAGCCAGGGCACCGGATCCTGCCGGATTCTGCGAAGGCCCCCTCTGGCTGACCCAGGTGAGCGAGCCGCTCGCGGCCGCGAGGCGGCCGCGCATGTTGGCCGACCCGGGCTTTCGAAGCCCTGCGTGTTTCATTTTTTTGTTTTTCCCGGAAAGGGCGTCAGGCCCAGGGTTCTCTTTTAGTTGGTTTACCCCCCGGTTTTGACTTGTTGAGGGCCGGCGAAATTATTCTGCGTAAATAACGAGGTAAAGTGCTGATTTTTATTCGAACAAGTGCGTTTCGTGCGTGCCCGCTCGAGGAAAGTGCGCCCCCCATCTCGGATCCTCGATAAAAAACGGGGTCCGCAGACCACCGTTTTCCCTCGTGAAAAAGAGGGTGCTTAGCGTTTTTCGCAGAATCCTCGACAAATAATGGGGTCTGGAGCCCCGACCGCGACGCGGAAAAGCGCCCCGCGCGCAGGAATTCCGAGGATGTCTCGCGCGTGCCGCGTCCCGCGCGTAGGAATTTCGAGGATGTCTCGACTAATTCGCTTGTTTTGTCAGGATTTTTTAAAACTTTGGCAGGATGTCTCGAGCGAAACGCTTATTTTACATAGTTTGTGGAGGATGTCTCGAGCGAAACGCTGGTTTTCGCAAAATTTGGAGATGTCTCGAGCGGGGGGCCAGAATTCAGAGGATGTCTCAGGCGAAATGCTTGTTTTCGTGTCCCGCTCGCGGGAATTCCAAGGATGTCTCGCGCGGGCCGCGTCCCGCGCGCAGGAATTTCGAGGATGTCTCGACTAATTTGCTTGTTGTGTCAGGATTTCTTAGGATTTTGACCGGATGTCTCTAGCGAAACGCTTGTTTTTCATAATTTGTTGAGGATGTCTCGAGCGAAACGCTGGTTTCTGCAAACTTGGGGATGTCTCGAGCGGGGGCCTCGTGGGGGGCCAGAATTCAGAGGATGTCTCAGGCGAAATGCTTGTTTTCACGTCCCGCTCGCAGGAATTCGGAAGATGTCTCGCGCGTGCCACGTCCCGCGCGCAGGAATTTTGAGGATGTCCCGTAGCGCGTCCCCTTGGCACGGCCTACGGTGCGACCCCATGGCACGTCCCTTGGCACGTCGCCTGGCGCGTCCCTGGGGACGTTTCGCGGCGCGTCCTCCTGGCATGTCCCCCTGTCAATTAGCTCTGGGGCAGCTACTATGTGTTCAGGAAGCTCGAGCTTCAGATCCAGATCAGTTCGGTCAGGACTTGGATGCAAAGGAAGACTCGATCCACGACGCTATAGAGCACAACCGCGGCATGGCACATCGCAATTCAGCACGGTGCAGCACAGCACAGCCCTCGGCACGGTACATCAAGATCGATACACTCAGCATTGCACTTGCCCGTCACCCAATCAGGTGTCTTTGAAAACGTTGCCATGCGTTACATTTCTATATTCCTTTCCGGGTTCGTGGGTCGATCATGTTCCCCCGCACTGCAGTCTTTTTCCCAGAAAGGGCGTGGGCCCAGGGTTCTCTTTTAGCTGGTTTACCCCCGGTTTGGACTTGTTCAGGGCCAGCGAAATTATTTTGCGTAAATAACAATGTAAAGTGCAGATTTTTTTCCCGGAAAGGGCATAGGCCCAGGGTTCTCTTTTAGCTGGTTTACCGCCGGTTTTGACTTGAAGAGGGCCGGCGAAATTATCCGTAAGGGCTTCGCCCCCTGCCGCCGGCCCCCTCTCTCGGAGAATGGGCCATGGAAGAGCTAAGTCATGAGGCCTTGGCGCTGTCGTGAAGCAGTATCGAAACTTCATGCGAAGCCGATTCGCAATCAGCAAAACTAACTGATCACAAGAGGGGTTACCACACCTGGCGATTGGTAAGACGTGTATGGTTTACGGGCTTGGTTACCACACCTTGCGATTAAAGGGCCGAGGGAGTTCTCGCAGTTTGGGTTACCACGCCTTGCGATGGATGTGCCGTTTCAGAAATGTGGGTGGCACCGAATTTCAGAAATGTGGCAAATCCCCTGTGTTTTTGGACCCTGACCCCGCGGATCTGCGTGAGGGGTGGCACCGAATTTCAGAATGTATAAATCCCATTGTTTTTGACCTGACCCCGCGATCTGCGTGAGGGGTGGCACGAATTCAGAAATGGCAAATCTTTGTGTTTTTGGACCCTGGACCCTGCGGATCGACGTGAGGGGTGGCACCGAATTTCAGAAATGTGGCAAATCCCTTGTGTTTTTGGACCCTGACCCCGCGGATCTGCGTGAGGGGTGGCACCGAAGTTCAGAAATGTGGCAATCTTTATCCTGTGTTTTTTGGAACCTGACCCGCGGATCTGCCTGTTGAGGGGTGGCACCGAATTTCAGAAATGTAGCAATCCCTTGTGTTTTTGGACCTGACCCGGCTATCAGCGGAGGTGGCTGGCACCGGAATTGCAGAGTTTGGC